GGCAGCGCCCCAGCTGCTCTGCCCCAGGGTCCACAACAAAAGCCTGGTCTGCTGGGGGAGGGGGGGCACACTAGCTGCGCGCGCCCCCCCCAAGCAGACCAGGGACACGGGGAGCAAAGCCGCAGCGGCAGCGGGGTGCCACGCCTCTGAGGCTTTGCCGCGGCCCCCCGCCGCTGCTGCGGCTTCAGTCCCGGTGCCCCTGGTCTGCTGGAGATGGTCTCCAGCAGACCAGGGGCACCGGAGCAGCTTACGAACAGGGCTTTCTCGCCCCGACCTCCGGGGCGAGAAAGCCCCGTTCGTAAGTGCGGATCCGACATAAGTCGGATCCGCGTAAGTCGGGGACTGCCTGTACTCTTTCTAGGCAAAATTATGTGATTCTGGTTAGCAGAGTGATCAGACTTTTTAGGTGAAATAGTGGGAATCTTTTCTAAACATGGCCATAGACTTTGAGAGGGGATTTTGGCAGTTGGAGAAGTGTCAGGTTTGGGGTGAGGAAAAGGGTTGAAAGTGTGTTTGGCAGCTAGCCTAGGAGGAATGGAGGTGATCTGCATTGGAGAAGGAAAGGCCTGTGTTTGGATTGTTTGCCAGCTAGAAGGGGAGAATAAAAGATCTTTCTCCTTTCACTTCTTTCATTGTTTATTGCCATCCTTCATCCCTTCTCTTCTAACCTTGTTCTCCACTCCTCCAACCCTTCTTCTGCTCCATCTGTCAAGTAATGGTGCAGCAAATGAGAAGGTGGAACCACTGCAGGAGCAGCCTGTCAGTCTCCCTCCCATTTCAAATTGATGGGATTAGGCAGAACAGCTCTGAAATTCGGACAATCTGTGAAGTCCAGATACTTGGGCACCTTGCTTAGCTGAATGTATTTGAATGATTGGCTTCTGTACAAATACTAATCAATTATATTTAGTTTAAAATACTGATGTCACTATCTTTGTTGCTTGCAAGATACCAAAAAGTTTAGCACCTCACTGGAGTGTTGTGGTCATAAATACTTGAATGATTGTGAGGCACTCAGTCACAGAGTTCATGTAAATACATAACATAACTTCTGAGAACACAGTGAATTATAGGAATAGCTCTTGCCTCAGAGATCTAGAACAATGTTAAGAGTAGCCATTGTCAAGGGGACAAAAACCCTGTCTGGTTCCTTAAGAAAACAGATTGTGGAAAATTGAATAGGAGCTGACTTGCCTGGTCACCCAAAATGTGGCATTTTTGAGGTTTATAGTAGGCTAGTCTATCTGTGAATTATTCTCCAGTTTTGTTTGCCTAAGTACTTCCAGAAGGGACTAGGATAAAATACTGTAAGACAGATTGGTCCTTATGTGGTTTTTTTCCTGAGTAGAAACAAGATTAATTGCCTTTTATTGCTGCAGGGGGAGCAGGTCACTTAGTATTGACAAATAAAGGATATATATGCTGTTCAGAATCAATAGATGGAAACGTAACATGCTAGAGATCTTGAGAGAAATCCTGTCATCAGATTTCCAACCCTGTCTGGGTATAGTACAACTAAGCCTCCAGATTTTTGTGTTTTTAAATAAATGTGTATGTCTGAAAATTTCCATGGAAAGAAAAATTACTAAAGTGTATAAAAGATCTAGATGTTTTGAGAATACTCTGGAACTTTTTGAAATGTTCAGAACACTAAAAGTACCAGGTTCCCCCTCCCTTCTCTGTTCTTTCCAACCATAATTTCACTACTGCTGTAAAAGGAGATCTAGGCTCAGGGCTATTCCCAAGTTAATCTCAGTCTTGATCCAAAAGTCCTAAACTGCTTTTCTTCATTTTTCTGGCATTCCTAGTACTGTTCAAGAGACACCATCCAAACCCCAACACTAACAGAGCCCCTTAAGCTTTAGCTCCATTGTTAACATCTCCCTTGATTAAATAAAGTGTCCCTATCTAGCAAACCACTGACTTGCAGTTCACTACTGACATTTTTAACTGATTTATGTTTCTAGCCCAGTAATAGTTATGGGAGATCTAATTTTCATGGCACACCAAACGTCAGAAGAGGAGAAGCATCAATATCTGGGCAGAGTGATGAGATTTATGTCAACTACCGAGACTTCTCGCGCAAACCTAAGACAAGAGTATGAGTTTCCTTCTCATATCTGAATGATGTAACCAAATCACATTTTGCATCATTGACTTTTTATTCTCTTTGTACCAACTTGACCTTTAATTTCTTAGTCTCTATCAGCTAAGTGACTTTGATGTATCAAGGCAGCAAGAGAGTATATGTCTACAATTTACATCTTCAGAGCTGCTAACTTCATTTCAAACAATCATTTTGGCAGGCAGAGGGGAAATAAATTAAAGAAGTAAATTCAGAGCTGCATCTGCTTGCACCAGATCTGAATCTGGTCCTGAAAATTTATATGACGGAGTGAAGAAGATAAGTGTTCTTTTCTGTCTAGATCCAGGTATTGAACATCTGAAGAGGCACTCACCTTCTGTGCTTTATAAGAAGGGCTCACATGAGGTCTTCATCCCTCCCTCTCCATCACCATACAAGGTGTTCAAGCAGTCACTCAGGCCCTAATGAGTTGAGGGAAGGATAGCAGTCTGGCCCTGAGGCACAGTCAGGTGAAAACAAAACCCAATCACCGGAAAAATATATGTTGTAATAATTTATTATAAGGTTTGGTTGCACAAAAATAAATGAGAACAAGGAGGATACAAGAATAAATGAGGCAAGCAGAAGAAAAAAGCATGATTAGAAACACTTACAAAATGATACATATACATACACATACATAGATGTGTATATATTCTGTAGGAACCTACAGAAGAAAATGAACAAAAGTAGAAAAAGAAACAAAACCAGAAGGCAGACCTGAGAATTAGGGGTCTACACATCCTGTTGGCCCTTACACAAGTGCTTTTTGTGGAATGTCTCTAGGTGTGCGCAGGACAATCACTTTAACATGAGGGAGGAATCCAGGCGAGTGCTATCATGAAGATAGTAGTCACATACGGCTGCATACTATAATGCCTGTACATACTGTATGCTGTATGTCAGGCTGATTAATTACACCTGCTTGGTCTGATATGCCCTTTCTCTTTAAGCGCTAGTGAAAGTGGTATTGAAGTTGAATATTTCTGGAAAGGGGGGAAAAAAGTTATCATTCTTCCTAAGCATTAATTACCAGTTCCATTGAGTTTGGCAGGAAAAAGAGCATTGACAACACTCTGAAGGCTAAAACCACATTTTATTTAGCCTCCTGCAACAGAAGGCAGCTTTCATGTGAATAAGAAAATAGCAATCTCTATTCTTCTGGTCATTGTGTGGAGATGGGTGTCCCAAGGTACCAAAGGGGATCACAGTATTGTGTAGCTAGTCTACACGTCAGCTAAATTGAAGTAGTGTAAGACTAAAAATTTGTCCAAACCTATCATTGAAAAGTTTCATTGTTCATAATGTCCAATAACCTTAGAAAATTTCTTTTTCTTTTTTGAGCTGTGTACTCTCAACAAATACCTATAGAGTTTAAAAGGGGACTTTATTATTTCCGCCTACTTAAGTATTTAGTAAAAGTTATCACATGAATGATGAAACTGCACTATTAATAAATTGGAATTTTTTTAACCTGAGTTATCACATCATACCAGATCATTTAAAATTGTGCACAGTATTATAAGCAGAACCTTGTATAAATGGGCCTCTTCTCTAAGCTGAATCTGATGACCCCATTTATATTCAAATGTGAAACTACTAATATAATGAATTGATTTAAGTTTCCCAGTCAGAGCTCCAGAAGACTCAAGTTATAAATAAAAGAGGTGGGAATGATCCCCTGTTTCAGAAGCAGAATTTTCACTCGCCATGCATCCATACTAATCTCCTTAGACTAAAGGGTTGTCTGTACTAAGGGCAAAAGATGGGGAATTGTGTTTCGCTTGTCCTTGATGTTTACTTGACATGGAGGTCACTAGCATTTCTGTGTTTTTCAAAAGATTTTAACATTTTCCAGATTTTAGGGGGGAAAAAATCTATATTGCACATCTTGGCATTTTGTTTAATCTATTTTAATTCAAATTCCATAGAGGTTTTGCATCTATGAAGACAGTTTACAGGGAAAATTGTGTTAACACATCACACATAGCATAATAAAAGTAATATATTAATTCTTTCCAATAAAAGACCAAGCACCAGCTTAAATTTGTACCGTCGTCATAACAAAATATCAGTGAACAGCAGCTGAATCCCAGACAAAACCATTAAAAAAAAAAAGGAAAAGAAAACCTTGCCAATGTCTGAAACAGCAAAATCAGTAAGTTAAAAAAAATCTTAAAGAGCCTGTGGAATTTTAGAAATATGCACATTTCATTTTACATATTTTATATCCACATGACCACCAACTTGAATAGTTCAAGCTCCCAATCTAAATCCTGCACATAGGTAAAATTTTCAGAAACATCTAAATACCTGAGGGTCCTAGCATCTAAATAATTCTAAGTCCTGTCTTTCAAAAGCAACATAGGCTTTTGAGAACATAAATATCACTGACTTGCTATGAAACTTAGGTGTTTAACAACCAGATTTTTCAGGTACCTATAGATGCAGATAGGCAAGCTGTGGGATTTTGAAAAGCACTGAAGCAAGTTATATGCATACCTGCCATTTGGATTAACAGGAAATAAGTGCTAAGCCAGTTTTGAAAATGTGGCTGTTACGCACTTCTGAAAATGGAACGTAGGCTTCCAAAACACTCAGAAGCATTTGAAAATGTTACCTGACAATCAGTTCTCAGACGAAAGCAGCTCAGGTGTCTCACTTCCTACAAGCTGAGATATATGTGGAAAAATGTGGATAGCTCATCCATGCTGGAAAATATGCATCTTGGGGTAAGCGAAATCTGTCACACATGGCTGTTTGATCTTCTGTTTTTGAAGGTTATGAACAAAATGTTATATTGAATATTTCCAAAATATAGTAACCACCCTCAGGGCTCACAGAACTGAGGTGAATTCTATTTCAGAGTAAATGATGCAGTTGTCATGGTACCCTGCCTTTTGTCAGCAGTGTGTCTAATACAAAGATGCATTCTGGGTACAGTTACTTTTCCATCATGTGGGGTATTAAAAAAAATTCTATTTAAAAAGACAAGCTTAAGGTTAGTATCTATGGTACAGCATTCTATGTTGTTTTATCTTGGCAGAAAACCATTTTTTATATTTTATAATTTTTATATGTAATATCAATGTTTATTTTTAAGCTTGTTTTTAATCCATTTAAATTTCTATGTGAAATTATGTGGGTGGAAGCAACATTAAATGCCAAAAGATTACAGCAATCATCCTTAAATCAATATCTAATATGTTTGCAAACAACATTTTTTGTACTTTGCCTATCTATAAATTTTGCTATCCTCTGTGGAAATACTTTTTCATCAATGTGTGTGCATGGAGGAATCAATGTTTCCAGACACTTGCCAATTAAAAATCTAATCCTTTCTCGCCTACCTGTACTTAGGAAATAACTGGAACACTTGTAATACTGAGGTAAATTTATGAAGTTATCTAAGGCAATTGACATATTTTAAGAGTCAACACTTTCCTAGCAATACAGGGCAAAATTGAAAGTGCTTTGGAGAGGCAGTTAAGATGCAGGTGGGGGCTCAGGGATGGGCAGGGCCAAAGGTTTGTGGTGTGGGATGCTTACCTGGAGCAGGTCCCATTTAGTGTGTGGGGGGAGAACATGTGGGTCCACATGATCCTGAGTTCGTTTGCAGGCATCATCCTCCACAGATCCTATTGGCTGCGATTCCCAGTCAATGGAAGCTCTAAGGATGGAGCTTGCAGGTGAGTGTAGCAAGGGAACTGTGGTGGCATTACTCCAGCCTAGCTGGATGAAAAACGTTAGTGTGAGGAACTATCTCCCCTGCATCCCTGCCGGGCAGAGCCAAAAAGCAGGGGCTTTTGGTGGTTGCACACCCTAACACCCCTTTCTTAATCTAGTGAGAGGCTCAGGGAGCTGCTGCTATGCCAACTGGTAGATGGCCCCATACCATAACTCACCTTATGTCTGACATGCTCATTGCCCCAAGTTAATGTTATCATTATCTATATGAAAAAAAGACTTCATGTAAGGTATTATATTTAAACTGCGAACATGCCAGTCATTTGCATGATTTAGCTACAGGTGGTGTATAAAAATTACAGTTGTGCGCTGGAAATAGGGTCTTAGAATTTGTTTGGCCAGAAGCACATTAGCCACACCCAGCCTAATTTAGTCAAAGGAATGTTGTCACCATTGTAAATTGAGAAAGATGAGGACAGGAACAATAGAAGTATATTTACACGTAAAGTAAACATAGAAGCAGGTGGGAAGATGACCACTCAGTCACAATGGATAGTAGCCCAAGGAAGCCTTTCTAGCTCTTAAGAGAATCAGTGGACTTATGGAAAATATAATCTCACCTGACACACACACGAGGTCAGCAATTTTAAAATCTCAATCCCTCAAACCCTGAAATCTGTAGAACTAGTCTATAGATGTGAAGCCTGTTTATATCAAGATTGTAACTTGCTTCAGTTAAGTTTTAATCACTAGAAAGTGTGTGTGTGTGGGGGGGTGTTTTGTAATCCTTCATATCTCCTCCACTCTTACTTGAAACCACTTAAAAATATGTTCTTTGTTAATAAATGTATCCTTATTTGATTACAAAACCATCTCAGTGCTGTTATGTGGAAGGTGAAGTGTGGGGTTCTCCAGCAAACCAAACGGGGGGATGTGTACCCTGTCTGTTTTAGGAGGCAGAAAACTTGATAACTTGAGTGTCCAGTGAGAGTGACTGAATGCTGGAGAAAAAAACATTGTTGGGAAACTCATGTTCATTGATGGCTCCTGGTAAGGCAAGGTCTGGATTGGTAGAGTCCTGAAAAGTTTGCTGGCAAGACAGACAAGCTAGGATAAAGCTTAACAGTCGCACAGCTCACTTTTGCTAAGGCAGATCATTAACATCGTGGGGCACAGCAAGACATTACAAATTGATAGTCACCTTTCACCAGAAAATAGCAAACTTCTCAGTGATTTATAACACATTTTAAACAACACGACCAACACTTTATTTAATTAGAGTGTTACATCAACTCCTCTGTTAAAACCTTAAGTAATTTATATTCTAAAATATCATGATTGTTGTAGTTATATTGGTCCCAGGACAATAAACTGGATGAGGCAATATCTTTTTATTGAAAGCTTGCGTGTGTCACCAACAGAAGTTGGTCCATTAAGAGTTGGTCTCACCAGCCCTGTGTCTCCAATGATTTAACTGATGGTATGCTAAATTGTAGTCAAAGTTCATTTTGTCACATCTTTCTTGTATTTGTTAATGAGCAGTGTATATTTCAGTTCTGTTTAAATACACACACTTCCAACACCATATTTTCTCACAACACACAAAGTATTTAAAAAAATAAATGTTTATAATATATTCTGTAGCATATGTAAAACCTCCATAATCGTGCACTGATGTATTATGTACAGAATTTCTCACTAGACTCCCTTCTGTGTATTATTTTAAGGCCAGAAGTATGAGAACTGAAAGTCCTTGTGTTTTCTTACTTGTAATTAGAGACACTGTTCTTATTCATATAAGCCTTTTCTGAAATGTTGTATGTTTCAATAAAATGTTGCAGCAGTGAGTTCCACAAGCTAAACAATCTATAAATGAGTTTCTTTCATCTAGATTAAATAATGCATTTTAACTTGAATGCTGGTGTTTTTATTTACCCTTTCCCATAATGCAAGAGTACCTGACAGCCCATCCCTGCACCAATTCTTGTTCTATAGGAGTTTGACACTTTGTGCTCAATTCATAAACTCAATCTCCATTCCCACTGGCTTCAGTAGGATCCAGGCCTGTATCCGTATTGTATCTCTTAAATTACTCCAATCCTTTTTAATCTTTCCTTGTTTTTACTCCTAGTCTTCACCCTGTTCCATGCTTCTAATCTTTCTGTTGTCTTTTCTGTTTACTCTGCCCTTTTGAGTAAGAAAAGACCAGAGCTGAATGCAGGATTGAAGGTGAGTACCATTTATTACCATTTTTTTCTACAGCTAAAAAAGTGTAATGCACTTTTTACAATAAGTACCTCCAGAATTTAGATGCTGGATATCATCTTCATCTGAGGAAGCTCAAGAGACTCTAATATTAATGTTGTCACATGGATAGCTTTATTTTGTACTCTGTTTTGTTTTTGCTACAAGAGCAGTCATGACAATAGATGTGTAACTGCCATCTATGGTCTCATTATTGGTGTAAAATTGTCAAGAGACTGGATCAATTTTAAACTGTTTTTCTATGCCTGCTCCAGTCTTTTTGGTACAAGACAATGAAATATATATTAAGAACAAAACTATATCATACATTAAAAGTGGAGGATAGCTTTGATCAGCACTAAAATTGTTACATGGAAAAATCATCTGTAAAATATATCAATTCCCCATATACTCTTAAGACTAACAAAATATGCAAACGTTTCAGTCACATGACACTTTCTACACAAAACAATGAGGAGGAAATGGTGAACACTTACCCCTTCTTAGTGCTGTTCAGAATGAAATGTAAAATTTGCGAAGAGTTTGAACTCCTTAACAGTATTTTATATGCTGATCTGATATGGAACTTAGTGGGGGATTACAAGGTGTAACTAAAACACAGATCTTTTTTTCAAATGGATTGTAACTTTTGTAACTCAAGATAAAAGTTGACCAAAAGGTAATTTTAAACAAAAAAACTGTGCTTCATTTATAATAATGCTGAGTTCCTCTTTGTTTTGAATGATTATTTTTATTTAAAATGGCTACACTTTTTAGAATGTCTCTAAAAATCTACCAAATGTAGGGAACAAACTGCAGAGGAAAACTACAGAAGGGTATCTTTTATAGCAAAACTTTCGCTGACATGCACCGAATCAGGATTTCTCCCTAGAAACATAAAGGTAGGCTCCTAAATCCCTAATTATGCACCTAAATAAGTGGTTTCATTTTTAAAAAATGTTGAATACCCAGCACCTCCCACTGACTTCATTGTCTGGTGAATGACTTGCCTCTTACAAAAAACTCATTTTTTAATGTTACAGCAGGACATTCAAAATATATTCAACTACCATTCTTGTTCCTGTGTGCTTTTTAGTATTCATTGTATTCCAAAGAGTATTTGTTTTACTTTCCCACTTATATTTCAGATATTATACACCTTTCCTCAAAGTCAAGAATAAAAACTATGCTTAATTTCAGAAGCTAAAGACTATCTCCAGAAAGTAGCTTATATAGTGCATCAAATCTTAACCAGTTCACTTGTAAGACCTATGATAACATAGGGTAAAAACTTGATGCAATAATGTAGAACAGTGCTATCTTCTCCTAGAAAATTATAGGTTGACTCTTTAGCATTCTCACCCACAGAAAAGCCTAGGATTTGTTTGTGTGGTAAGTTGTTCTAGAAGTGTCTTGTATTGAGGGGATGTACTAAAAGGAGGCATTCTTTTTTTGGAACTGCTTCCTTGTAATCTTTACTCAAACAGTGGCTTTTTCTGCTACCTTATCCCATTCTTCTTTTTATCTTGTGTAAATGCCACTCTCTGTGAAAATGTGGAAAAGTTACCAAATATGGCATATAGGATCCATATTCTTCACTAGTCTTAAGAATAAATGTGTGTAAATGTAGCTTATTTTTTGCTCCAGTCCAAAGTGTAGCAATTATGAGATCTGACCATGGAAAGCAACCTTCAGATTCCAGTCTAGCCTCTACTGAGACCTTTGTGACACTGGTCAATGATCATAGTAAGTTTCTAATACACAGATAATGACATCTCCAAAATAACCATAATTCTTGGCACTAATTAGCACCTTTTGTTAGCAGTTACAGTGGAGGCCAAGGATTGAATGAGCCCAAAGTCTGAATGGTAATACACAAAGATGTCCAGTATAGTTCAAGAAGAATTATGGTTGCTGCTGCATCTGTTCTGTATAATGAATGACTTGAGAGAGGCAGTCAGCTCAGCATGTTTCATGAGCAATTAAGTTCTCACTTATATCCCCTTTCCAAAAAGCCAAGTCAGTTACTACTTTGGTAAGCTGGAAACAAGGAAGTTTGTGAACTGTTAATATTGAGCGCCCTGGTACTGAAATTATTGCTCTATGGTACTTTCAGATATTTAGTACCAACACCATCCATAAACCTGGATCTGGTTAATAATGAGGAACTAAAGGAAGGCATAGCTAAATGAGTGTTTTTATTTTACTACAGGTTAAAATTCCATATTCCAGTATTCCCTTGTGCACTATCACCTGGTGAGAGCAATCAAGGGGCTAAGCTGTTGGGCGGGGGCCAGGAGCGTTGTCATACTGGGTGGCCAAGATGGAGCCCCATGGGCAGCAGAGTCACCAGGAAGAATGCAGAGTCCCTGGGGGCAGGAGGCACAGCTCCCTGTAACAATTGAGGGCATCACGGTCACAGTGGGGGTGCTGCTAGAGAGGAACACAGAAATGCTGCGAGGAACACAGACACCCCTCCCTCACCCAAATGCTCGGTGGAGCACGGAAGCCACTGGGCTGCAGCAATACTGCTGGGGGAGCACAAAGTTCCTGGGGGAGCATATGGAGGCAGCGACACCACTGGGCCAAAAGTAGAGAACAGAGCTCTGGGTGGCAGCAAAGCCACTGGGCAGAGAATAGAGCTCCAGCCAGCAGTGGGCTCCCTAGCACCACTGAGGGGAGAGCAGAGCCCCCCCACCCTCCCCAGCATAAAAAAGTGGAGCCCTGAGCAGCAGCTAAGCCACAGGGTGACTGAAAGTAGAGCTCCCTCCCCCAGCACTGTAGGGAGAGCAGATCCCCTAGGTGGCAGTGGAGCTACCTGGGAAAAAGTGGAGCCCCTGGGAGAGCCGGAGGCTAACAGACCACCCTCCCCCTTTGCATTGACTTCCTCTGGTCCAGCAAATTCCCTGGTTCAAGCCCAGTCAGGTCTTAAGAGTTCTGGACCAGGAAGATACAACCTGTACATGGTTCTGATTTGTTTGTATAGCATCAGATGTAAACGGCCAGAAACTTCATGTTAGACCTCTGCAAGAATGAAACTGAACATCTTTCCTAACATATTTAATACCTGCATTTCTTTTTTCAACAAATTTGTAAGCTTTTTCTTATTGCTCTACTTCCACCAAATCAAGAACACAATGTTAGTTCTCCATCTACATGCTGTCCTTCTAGGCTCCAAATGGAAAAGACAAAAGCAAAGCCTGAATTGATATAATATTTCTACAAGCAAGACACTTCTAGCTTTCAAGCTATTTATCTTTGAATGTGGGCAGGCAAAATTGATCCTTAATAGTGTACTCGGAGCCAAATTACAGCAGAAACTGCCACAATGTGTATACTTTGAAACTGTGTGGGCACTGAACCCAGAGGAACTACACTAGCTTAGAAGCATATTTATTTAATTATTTATCACTGGTCGCCACTCCATTTCCGCTTATATACACTAAGTAAATTCTATAGCTTGGAACCACAGCATGTGGCTCTAGAATGATAGTAGTGGAGATATTCCAGTAGTTTGGTGCAACTATTCAGTGCTTCATTTGTATATAGTAACTAATGCACATCATTGGTATTTACATTAGGAAGATCCTTTTCATGCTGTAAATCAAAGCTAATTAGATATATTCATGTCACCCCACAATCACAGAATGTTGCACAGGAATGATGCTGAGACTTAAATAGAAATCTTTGTGGGCCCAAGGCCCCCTTATGGACCATGATAGTTGAGCAGCAAGCTAGAGCCTATGTGCCAAAATGGTGTCTGCTTCTGGCAGAACTCCACTATGTATCAAGCTTGTTTCATTAGGGCACTCATATAGCATAGAACATCGTATGCCATGAGGTACAGTAATCCTATGAAGGCAATGTTTGTGCTATATCCATCAGCTAGCATTAGCCATTCTTTTAAGAAG